TTTTATACGGCTAGCAAGCCAATTGCTAGCCGCCACGTGTGCATAATTTAAGATCGGCCAATAATGTGGCACGAATCTAAATACAAATGGCGGGAACTCCTTTGCACCGTGCATCACTATGATGCAAAAGAAATGCACCATGCAAAGAAGGCTACAAACGGCGGGAAATACTCTTTTGCACGCGGGTTCCTCTATTGCAGCAGAAAACTCCACCGTGCAAAGAAGCTGTAATTTGGTGGGAACATAATTTAGCAGTGCCGAAGCACACACAAAACAAAAACTCACAACTTTGGGTTGTGACACTGTGCTGACCCCTGGGGCCCTTGCCAGCTGGGGCCGCTCTGCTGGGCTCCATGTGCTGCTTGAATAAACTGCGGAGCTTATTGCTCTGGAGTTAATTGCTCCCAAGTGCATGTTCAAATGGCATGCCCGGAAGCAATTAACTCTGGAGCAATAAGCACTGCAGTTTATTCAGGTGCTGAAATTGTGGGTATAGACATGCCCATGCACATCAGAAAACCATTAAATGCCTCACTCAGCTGCTGGAACCCCCTGCTGACCTGCATACTACCAGTGTTTAGCCAGTAATTATTACTCATTTCCTGAGGACATACCAATAATTGCTAATAATACCCTTTAGCTATTAAGTTAGGTTCAGAATTTGGGGCTTCTTTTTCAAGTTTAGAACAGTTTCTGATTCTTGGCTGCTTGTAGCAGAAAATAAACTTTTGCGATTAAAACAAGACTGCAAATTATATTCTTGATTCTGCAAATGCTTATGCATCTCAATGGAAATGCTCAGGCAAGTAAAATCACAGGATTAGGAGGGTGCCCTATACTTCTGAACTTTAGTCCATGCCATATGGGGCAACCTAAAATAGATTTTTAGCACTTTATGTGAAAAGACTACTAACCAGCAAAATTGATTTTAGTTTTAGGCGTCTATGTTTAGACCTCAGTTTTGCAGCTGGATCTAGGTGTGTTCATCTTCATAGACCTGATTGCAGGATCTAAATGTGTTTTTGTTCAGTTTGCATTTGGGGTACTTTTATCATCAGAAAAAAGATATTGAGCTCTTCTTAATATGGCTTAGCAACCACAGCCTCCACCTCTACCCTCCCTGCACAATTATTTTGAGTAACAAAGTCCAGTGATTAATTTTTAGTCAAAATACTGTATCAACTCACTTCTACAAAGCACTTTGTGTTTTGTTTTCTCGTGCTCCTGACTCATATGAGAAACACCTCACTCCAGTCTCCCATGTTTCTCAGCGAGAAACAAAGATGATGTTTGGAAAAGCCAGGGTAAAAGTGTCCCACAAGGAAGCATTTTGTTAATTATCAGACAGCGGCCACTTTTGTTTTCCTTGGCACTGGTTTAGATTTCAGATTCCCTTCACTGACAGGCGTTCTTGCATTACTAATTCTTAATGTTCTTGTGAAAAGAAGCACCTCATATAAACTGTGGCATGTTACTTACATTTTTTAGGAATAAGGGATCTTTATACTAACCCTATCTCGCACACAACGGGCCAAATTTTTAACTAATCTAATGTGTCATGACCTTATGTCTTTTACATCTCTAGAAACTTGGTCAGAGCATTTGCTGATGCAGCCACTGGCAAGGCCAAAAAACTCATCTTTATGTTCACAGGTCATGCATCTGCCTGACTGCTCTTTGTGCGTACACAGAGACTGGCTTCTGCATGTGCCAAAGGGGCACTTGCAAGCACTAAATGCATGAACTTTTGGAACCATGAGGAGCCTCCTCCCTTTTTCACTGTTTAAAGTATAAGGAGGAATTCATGTTTAGAGTTTTTTTGTTATCTTTATGTTTTGTGTTCATTGGATGTTTATTTTCATATGTTCTATTAAAAATTAAAAGACACAGTGACTGAAGGTGATAGTATAGTGAGTGAGATGTCGTATGCATCTAACAGTCATTTCTTTCTTGGGCCATTTTTTTCAGATTTGCATCTACATTTGTACCTGCAAGAGGCCATACACAGAACAGCAGCACATCTCCTTTTCCATGAATAACCTATGAGGTATCATAAGGTCAGCTGAAAATGTTATTCAGTGCTCTTTGGGAAAAAGACTTGCGTCATACTAGCAGTGTGCAAGACCCAACAGTGAAGGGCCACACACCATACATAATAATGTTATGTATATTATAACTATTTTATATTGGCCCTGTTAGTATAATCTGTATATTCAAAATGTGGAGAGTAATACAATAAGTTACTGAATAGTGAACAAAAGAAAAAGGTAAGTGTGATCAAGGGAAGAGGTTTTCAAATGGGAGTGCAAGTGAATTGGAGAGTTAGTGGAGAAGTGGGATATACTGTTTCATATAGCAAGCATTGCAGCAAAGGTAAATATATGTACAGACCTGATAGATACTGAAGAGCAAAGACAATATCAAGACAAGGCTAGAACTTTAAAAATAAAAGGACTATTCCCTCCCAAACAAAATTCTGGATCAGTAGTAAAGCAAAAGAATTGCTAAAGGTTGGGGGATGGGACCATCTGATAATGACCACTGACATTTGGTGGGTTATGGAATGAAGGTTAGGACATGAGGAAGTCACAAAAAGAAGTTCAGAGGTGTTGTTGGGCCATGTTCTCAAACCTGGTGTCTTGGTCTGCCTGCTCATCCCTGTCTTCCACCTCTCCAGCTAAGCACACAGGTGGCCAGAACCCTCCATCTGGGCCTTGCCACCTTCTCACTCCCTGCCACTAGAGTGGCCAGCTAGGGGGGGAGGGCCCTTCACACCTTCCAATACAAACCCCTGATTTGGGATGACCCTTCACACCTTCCAATACAAACCCCTGATTCAGAAGAGGAAATGTCTGGGCAACAGTGCTCAACCTGTACCCAGGCTGCTTTGCTATTTATTCTGGCTCGTGCTGCCACACACTCCATCTGATCCCTTGGCTTCCTGACCCAGCTTGTTCTAGGATTCTGCTCTACCTCTTGGCTTCTCCTGGCTGCTGATCTGGCGTGACTTCTGATTCTATGCTATGCACTACCCTCCAGCTCTCTGACTCTGGTGGACCTCTTGGCTTCTGGTTTCCCAGCATTCAGATTCTATGTACTTCTTCTGGTCTCAGTTGCTCCCCCAGACACTGACTGACTCCCAAATGTGGCCCAGCATGACAGGTATAGCAGAACAGCTGAAGTGTAAATGAGAAGAGGAAATAAAGTTCCAGAGAATTACAGAGAATGTGGAGAGAAAGAAAATGGAGTGAAGGATGGAGATAGAAGGAGGAGTTGCATTTTAGAATGGTGCTCTTTCTCTAGAGAGTCTGCTTTAGTGTGGAGCTCTCACTAGTTTTTCTGGTTAATACAGACAATGAGTATGGACTGGAATAGAAAGTTATGGAGTTTAATATAATGAGTATAAAAGCAAAAGTTTATTTAAAGAAGCAAAGTAATGGACAGAGACAAGGACAGAAACTTTTGATTATCCCACAGAAAGAGACAAGAGAAAAAAAAATAGTAGCTTGGGTGGGAATGGAACCGACTTGAAGAAACCTGAGGACTGATGTGCAGATGGCCCATAAACTCAGAGTTAAGAAGAGCAATAAGGAACTAGATGGACTTAAAATGCCATTTTATGATTATAAATATTAAGAAGCTTGCCAGCAAATTTGAAACAAGCTACCTTGACTGAGATCAGTCTGGGACAAATGTCAATTTTGCTTGTTTTTCTATCCTTGTATTTTAAATACAATAATACATTTTCTCAGTAACATAATTCAATAAACACGTTTATCCATCTGCTTCACTAAACACTGTAACAAAATGCTGAAGTTCTAGTTGCTTGTTGGCATAGTGTTATATTTCAAGCCATTTTTTCTCATTGGTTGTAGAAATCTTGGAAATTCTATAACTGAGACTGTAGTTTCTTTAGCTTAGGGTTAGGGTTTTTTGTCTGTAGAAATCCTCATATTTGTCTGACATCAATTGACAAAACATATACACTATGCAAAAATGGATCTCTAGCAAGCTGAACAGGAAAAACAAACTCAAGAAAGTAATAAAACCATCTTGACCACAAACAACACTACGGAAGTAATGATTTATATGAAACTTAGAAGATGTTGCAAGTTTCATCTCACTTACTTTAACCACCATTCCAAAACAATGATTCCGTATTTTAAAGTGTACTGCCCAGTTCAAAGCTAGTTTTCTTTGCCTCCCCACAAGATTTCAAATAATTTTACAGTTTATTAGACTTTGAACAACAGAAAATCTGGAGTATTTCCAAGGGCATTTTCATCTACTTTATAGATACTGGGAGCATGCAGAGAGTTGCAAATGAATGCCAGTTTGAGCCCTCTAGCTGGTGTAGCCGAATATGGCTCTACTGCCGGATTCAACCTGGGTGATCAGTATTTAGAGAAAACCAGAGTGGTAGGGTGTGGGCGAGAGCAGACACAATACAAAATCATACTCCAATGAGTCCAGTCAATCTTTCAAGCTTTGAGGCATGGGCTTACCTTTTAATTACTAACATACAATGTAATTTAGGAAGAAACTGTCCCCAGAAGTTTAATCCACACTGGGCTGATGTTGGCCACTGTCAGAGAGAGAAAACTATGCAAGCTGGACCAACAGGCGTCTGACCCACTGTGGTAACACCTAGGAGGAATTTGGCTTAACAAGGCCTAGATGTAGAAGTTTGTCTGGGTTAAAATTTTTATCTCCCACAGTTTAAATATTTGTGGGTACACCAGCATTTGCAAGTTTTTCTTTAATGTATATTTTGGATATTCATATAAGAATCAAATTCCTTTTTGAAGCCTGCTAAGCTCTTGGTATCCATGTCTAGAAACAATCAATTCTATTTGAATTGCTGCTTGTGTGAAAAAGCATTACCTTTATTCACTTTCAATTTGTCACCTTAAATTTAATTGAAAGTCTCTTTGTGTTGTAAGGAAGGCTGAGCAGGGGATCCTGATCTGCCTTCTCAACCTCACTTGCAATGTTCCTTTTTATTAATCCTTTCCTGACTTTTATCCATTTTTTTCAAGCTTCTATCATTTCTGTTATCTCCTTCCTGAGATGAAGTGACCAGAACTGAACATTTATTGCAGATGAAAGCAAAACCATTTTCTATAATGGCAAAAAACCATATTTGGTAGTTTCATATTTTGCTACTGTTAAGGTATAAAAACAATACGCTGTAAGAAAACATTCCACAAGCCAGTTTAATATAAAATGTTTTTATTGTTTTTGAAAACATTTAAAAAACAATTTTTGAGCACTTTCAATAAAAAAAATAACTGAAATGCTACTGCAATATTCAACTACCGTAGTTTCAGCAGTACAACAGACAACAGAACACTGAGGGAAAACTGGACTTCCTGCACTAAATGAAAACATGGAACAGGGATTTTTCTTTCCTTATGGTGCAGTAAAGAAAGCACGGTATAGTACAAGACTCTTATATGAACCCCAGATGCACTGCACAAGAAACGCATTCCTTCTTTTCAGTTCAGAAGTCAGTGCTTATTGCAATTATTTGCAAATTCTTTACTTCATGAATTCTTATCATGATAAAATGATGCAAAAAATGTCTTCCAACACCAGAACAATAAAAAATAATCCAAGAAAGGAACATATTCAACAATAACTAAGCTGAATTAGTAAACATATAAAAGTAAATAACTTGTGAATAACTACGCTTGCCTGGTTAACACAGAACCAGTATCAATACAGCAAAAGAATAAAAAAAAAAAAAAAAAAAAAAAAAAAAAAAGTGGTTACAGGAATATACCTAGTACTGTACAAGATAAGTCAATAACACTCATGCACGTCTTGTGATCATGTATTAACATGGTGAAGCAAACTAAACTTAATTTCTTCCTGCTGTAATATTCTCATGTAAGAGAATAAGAAATAGAAATATCTCATTGAGATCAATGCACATTGCTACATAAGACAATTTAATCTGTCACTTTTGATGACATTTTGCCTTTTAATAATGAAACACATTAAAAAGTTCTTATCTGTGGGCTGTATTGGTTGCATTTATCCTAAGGAATGTGCCTGCCACAGGTTCAACAGAAATTTAGTGCAATATATGAACCCCAGAAAGTTTGCTGGACTAACCAACCAAATTTAAAGTGTTTGCTGCAATACTGTACACAGGGTACAAATTCACTAGTCTTTAGCAAAATATGCTGTCAAAATATTTTTTTCTCGTGTTAATAGGAAGCCAGTAATGTAAACAAGGGGTCAGAACCATCTCAAACTCTAGTTTTTGGAGTATCTGACAGACAGGCTTCCAATAGCAAGAAACACAGAGTTCTCCTTTTGGTATTGCATCCTTTGGTGTGCAGTAGTGCTCTGTCTCAATGTACAGTAAGGAAATAACTAGCATTATGGAATAGGGATCTAACAGATTATTCATCTTAAACAGCAAACACACAAATGCCTATGAACTAGTACATACAAATGTACACAGCTGTGAGCTAGTCCTAGCACCGTTTATTGAAGTGAAAATGTTTTACCCCCATGCCTTGTAATTTAAACAATAAATCCTTATTGGATTAAAAACTTTTAAAATTAAACACACATTTGCTTTAAATCCACTGATTATATAGTATTCCTACTAGCCTGCTAATCAAGTTAAAAGAATACTTTCTATTAAGCCCAATACAATGTTTCTATTTAAAAATGGTTTTAACACAGTTTAAAAACCTTTGGCGACAACTGCATAATTTAGAAAGCATCAGTCTTTATATTTACTTTAGCTTTACCGAGAAATGTTCTTAACACAGAACAATTAGAAGGGGACTAGTTTTCACTGGATCCCGGTAAGAGTCTGTCCCTCAGCGTGGTGGAGGGAAGGAAAGCATGCTGTGCACACACAATAAACTCCATAACCCCGAGGATAATGCTGGTGCATACATCTGTCCCCACTATTCTTCCCTTTTAAATCTGCTGGAAGGACAGGGTTAGCATATCCATGGTGGTGCTTGCACTTCATATAGGTTCAGATCTGAGGGATGCTGAAGATCTACAACTCCTAAAGAAATCAAGGAGGCAGGAGGATGTCAGCAGCACTCTGGCTCTAGGCCATGGGCAGAGAGAACTTGAGCCCCAGCCTGGTCAACCTTCCTCAGAAAGTGAAATGGCTTTGATCTGAATTTGTGGAGTCTTAGAAAATAGGAATAACCAGCACAAAACCCATCCCATCTAATACCTTCTGTCTCCTAAACAGAACCTGAAACAGTTTCTCTTAGGAGGAGCTTGAACTCCTCTCTGTATCTCTGTAGGTCTGTTACCACTGAAATGGCAAAACTTTCATGGATTTAAATGCAGTGGAATCAGACCCCATATAAGGCTCCGCAGCTTGGCACTACTGCTTGTCCCTGCAGAAGAGCTCACATGTGGGAGCATGGAACGGCCTTCGCTCAGTGCTGTATTGCAGGGAGTGGGAGAAACACTGAGGTACCAACATCTGGAGTGCTCATACAGCAGTACCGGGACAATGAATTTCACTAAAAACACTAACCAAATACTGAAAAATCTCAGCTTACTCTCAGGAATGCGATAAGTTACCAAGAGACATTAAAAAAAACAAACAAAAAACAACAACAGCTTAAAATTTGATCATCATTTCCTGACTTGCTAAATTAGACAGCAACATTCTGTTCTCTTCTACACAAGCTGACAACTTCTCAGTAGGGCTGTGCAAAGCTTCAGTCGCTGATTCAATTCGGCAGAGATTCGGCCTGATTTGGTCGCTGAATCTCTGAATTGAGTCAGGAGACCCTTTAATTTCTCTGAATCTATTTGGAACCCTCTAAATTGACACAGAAAGATTTGGAAAGATTTGATGATTTGGACACAGGCACAGCTTTAAATGTTTCTTCTACAGACCTCAAGGTACCAGGTGGTTCGTGAACGCTGAGATGGTGGGGCAGATGGAGTGTCCCACAGGAGCGCAGGGGGGTTCCCAGCACACTTGGCAGCAGACCCGGAAATGGACCAGAAGCACTTCCAGTCCACTTCTGGGTCTGCTGGGGAGTGTGCTGGGGCCCCCTTGCACTCCTGTGGGATGCTTCATCCACCCCACCATCACAGCATTTATGAGCTGCTCCTGGTACCTCGAGGTATGTAGAAAAAACATTTAAAGCTGTGTCTATGGCCGAATTGCTGACTCTCCAAATCAGCATTGAATCTTCAGAGTCAAATTCAGCTGAATTGAATAGGGATGGTGATCTGAATCAATGAATTGAATCACTGTCTCAGATTCGGGCCGAATCTGAATTGAATATGGCCCATTTCGCACACCCCTACTTCTAAGTCACCTAATGCAAGTCAGGGAAATGCTCCCTACTTTGTTTTAAGATTAAGTGATGTCAATTTACATCGGATAGTACAAACCCTGTACAATGGTTAGGAGACAAGACAACAAAGGGATTTGCTTGCCCAGAAGTCCAAGCAGGCTTCTTCTTGGCCAAGAGTTTGACGGTACAGGTCTCCTTTGTTGCATCAGAGCCATGGATGGTTAAGTACCCTTCTCTGTTCACCATTAGAGAGGTTTATAACCCTCACATTATTCTTTTTAAAGACTAGGAATAACATTTTCAAAAGTGGTTTAGTGACTTGTGAGTATAAATCCCATTTTCAAGAGACTTGGAAAGTACAGTATTGACTTGCAATGAGACTTTGTCTGGGTAGCACCTAAATCACTTTGAACATGAAACTTAAGGTATGGATAAATTATCAAATTAAAGGTGAGTTAAAATGTGTAAGAGTGTACAATGGTAAGTCTCCACTCCCTTTTAAATTGTTGCCTTTTGATAATTTGTCCATGCCCTTAGGCTCCTAAATTACTTAAACACACTAAAAAATTTTACTCCAGGTCCTTTGCATTTGTAAAGTGCCTAGGAATGTTATGGCTCTACGCAAAGTATTTCTAACCATTCTCAACCAAATTAGGTAATATTTTTATCATCTTTGTTTTCAGGAGACACAGGAAGCCCCCCAGCAGGTCAGAACAGAAGGGGTTTAAAAACAAATCCTAAAAAACAGTAGTATTTTTTATGATTTCATGCAGCCATTCTTAATTAAAAGGAAGCCAAGTATAATGTCCCTTTTTCTAACTGATAAATAATAAAACAGTAACTAACATTTTATAATGCATGGTATCTCTGGGTTTATTAAGCCTCAGTGCTCAGAATAATTTTTTCATGCATTTTTTTCCCTTGTATCAAAACTAACATTTAAAGTAAAAACTAAATCATTAATGTGAGGTCATGAATATTTATGTCTAAAAATCCTAAATAGATTTTGTTTTCTTTTAAATAAAATTTTAGTGCATTTTTCTCTTTCCTTGATCATTTCATGATAGTTTCTCCTATCAGCCCTTCCATACAGGTGTCAACCAGGGATTGGCAAAATACAGCCCAAGGCCAGATCTAGACCACCAAGGGTTTTACCTGGCCCAGGTGCAGAGGGCATCCCGGGCCATACTGCCTGCGCTGGTCCTGCCAACCCCAGGCATGCAGTGGGGCTGGGGCGGCACCACAGCTGGACTCAGCTTCCCAGCAGCCCCAAAGGAATCCCTTCCAGCTGCTGCTAGTGTTGCTGCCACTGCTGGACCTGGCCTCACTGCCTGGGCACTCCGACCCGTCCAGCCTGCCCCCACTGTCAGGGGCACCATATGAAGCGGGGTCTCTACGGAGACTGGCTCAGAACCTGCACAGGCAGGGTGTACGTGGCTAGGTGGACAGGATAGGTCCAGGGGCAGGGAGCAGTGTCTGGGAGTGGGATAGGTGGGTGGGGCTGGGATCACGGTGCAGAGCCATGATCTGCTCCCCATCCATCCCTGCAACAGGTGCTGTTTCCATGAGCAGGGGCATGCAGGGAGCAGATTGCAGCTCTGTCCCGGGCCCTGGTCCCATGCTGTTACCACTTGCAATCCCGGCCCCAGCCCCTGCTGTCTCACTCCCAGACACCGCTCCCTACCTGCCTATGTCCCCATCCCATCTGTCTGGCTGATCACGCCCTGTCTGTGCATGTTCCAGGTCAGTCTCCACGGAGACCCCACTTACCTGCTTTGTCCAGCCCTGGCAGTGGGTGCGGGGTGCATTGGATCAATTATCCCCCTGCAACCAACAGCTCACCAAAACTCCCTAAGTGGCCCTCCAGCCCAAATAATTGCCCACCCATGGTGTAAATAGTTCTGGCAGTGCCACAGAGGTCTCTCATGGTTCACCACTGAGCAGCATCCAGAGGTGCTGTACAATGATACATCACCCCTTACATGCCACTCATCATGATGAACCCCCACCTGCTTAATCAACACCTACTTGTCTGCAGGCACCATACATTTCAGACATGGATAACAAAGACTGACAAGTATCTACTTAAAAGTAGAAGGCAATACAAAGTACTGAATGCCTAGTACCAAGCTAGATTTAAAACCCTCTCAACATCTCTACTCCAGTTATGAATGCTGGTTCTCAGCCACTTTATTTTGGTAGAATAAGAAATGCTATTAAGTGGGAATGCTATAAAATTTAAATTCTAATACTGGCTCTTCAATAGCCCATTATCTTCAGAAATTTGTTTAAAATTGATAAGACTTGCCTATTCCCTGCTGAAGAATGAACGACTGGTACAGCAAACTTTTAAAAAATGCCACAATACATAGCAAGTGTTTCTGCTGCGGGAGGCACTTCCATTAAGACAAATACATCTGTCTTTTACATACAGTGTGCTACATACATATTATAAAACAAAATTAACCCAACATTTCAACGGCAGAATGATCTTTACTCTCCATCCACTCAAAACCTGATGTAGTCATTGAGTTAATGGATTCATTACAGATTTGTTGAAACAATGGGTCGTTCTTTAATTCCTCCAGTGTAGCATCATCGTCTTGTCCCTGCTGACGACCTGGATCAAACAGTAGATTTGTGTCTAAAGTGTTCAGATCATTAATGCTGCCTGAGAGGTCGGAAGACAACCTGATGTCGTTGGAAAAGACAGATGCAACATTATTGAGATCAGATGCCACCTGATTCACCAGCTGCTGGTTGGTTTGCAGGTTGTCCTCCCCTAAAAGGTCTTTTACAGTGCTGCTGAAATCTAATTGCTGCTCTCCAATTTCTGATTGTGCTTGGTTGTCTCCAGAAGAAAAACTGATCTGATCGGTGCTGCTGTTTTTTGTGAGGTAAGTTGGTGTTTGGAATTCATAAACTGAAGTGCTGGAATTGATCATATTTTGTGAGCTGGCACTAGGAAAAGTGTTTGTTTCTAAAATTTGAGTGAGATTCATCCTCGCTGTATAATTTGAGGGCATGTTGTTCATTCCCAAACCTCTCACTGCATCATCGCTATCAGAGTCAAGTTTGTTTAACAACACGTTCGTTATTTTTTTAGTGTTTGTTTGTTTCTGAAGAGACGGAAAGGCTGTCTGCATCATGACAGTCAACGGAACAGACTGGCTTCTCTGAGCTATATTATTGGCACTGGTGTCTGCATGGATATTTGTGAACACATTGTGAACTTCTGGTGTCACTGGACTTCCAAAAGGGGTCAAGTTAGAGCGTGGTATGTTAGAAACAGAATAGATGGTGCTTCCGCTAAGATTACGTTGGCGATGGACAGCAGGGCTCACACTCCGGCATCTGAAACTATTTCCAAGAGAGGAATTTGTCCCCTTGTTGTCAAGTGGGGCAGGAACAGCAAAGCCTTCTTGTTTGGTGGTGCTATTTACAGAGACTCCCTGATGCTGCACAGGTGAAACAGGAGTCACACGGCCAAAGTGAGTATCATGGTGCCGGGACTGAGACTGATATGACTGGCCAGGAACTGCAAAAGCATGAGGTTTCCTGAAACGATCTTCCACTAACTCCTGATAGCTTGGAAGAATGCCGTGGCTTGAAACGGATGAATTACCAACTCCACTGTACCCATTGTTCATCCACTCAAGTTTGGTTTTATCAGGGTGGGTAGCCATAGGTCGCTGCATTGGTTTCACAGGACTACTGGAGACAATGCTGGCATCATGGTATGCCATACTAGAGCTTATTGGAGTAAATGCAAATGGATTTCTGCATTCCACAGGACTAGGAGGGACACTGCTGCTGCAGTTAGAATGAGGCGTTCCAATGGGTGTGTGCCGGCTGCTTCCTAGAGCACTGTCTACAGGAGTAGTTTGAGCCAGTCTCGAACATGGACTCTCTCGTGACACATTCTGAGACCCAGCCATCATTTCTGATGTGGGGGTTGGAGTCGGGGTGGGGGTTGGAGTGGGTGTAGGAGTGGGAGTGGGAGTGTGAATTGGAGTGCCACTGTTATGGACTGAATGGTAGAAGTGAGCACTGCTTGGATGAGATGACACAGGAGCTCCTGAAGCTGCTGCCTGGCTCTGAAGTGCCATTGCTAGACAACCCCCATAAGGATGAGAATTCATAGACATTTGCTCCTCCATGAGCACCAGTTCCTCTACAATGCTGTCCTGTGTGAGGTCTTCATCAAATGAAAAGAAGTTCTCATTTGATTGGGGGACTGTGTGTTCAAACTCTTTTAGCTCAGACTGCAAAGGTAACTGATTTGAAGACTGTCCTTGAATTTGATCCAAAGGAGATTCCTGGATCTGACTCTGTAACTGTTGGCTGTATGCTTCCTGCTGTACGCCTTCACAGTGCACTGGTTCCCACACAGATTCCTGTAAATCACTAGAGCCAGAGTGTCCTGCAATAGTCATAACACTGATATCCTGCTGCTGTTCACAGTTCACAGATGTGAAGTCCGAGGTTTTAGTGATATGCTGCCAGGCATTTGGATTAAAGCTGCCATCAGATTTTGAATCATTTTCTAAGATAAACAAGTTCCCTTCCAATTTTACTTTTACATCTGGAGATGATGCTGTGAGCTGCTGTCCTAAAGCAGCATCACCAGTATTTACATTAGAACCTAATGGACAGTTTGTCGCTAACTGTGTTGATGTTGCAGAATTTACTTTTATAGTTACTTTGCCAGGAACTTGAGGAAGTGCAGCAGTACTGTCATTTTTAGCAAGCGATGCAACCTTCTGAACCTTCTTAACACTGATCACTTTTTGAATTTCCATGTTGTTACCAACTGAAAGCTGCCCCACCAGTGGCTTCTTTGCAGGTGGCACCTGGGAATCCTGAAGTGTGGAAGACGGTCGCTTCCTTGGACTTTTAGTGCATGCTTTGTCTTTAATAGCAGAGTCACCACTAGGAGGCGAACTGATGCTGGTGCTGGAGAAATTTTGACTGGCAACTGAGAGGTTGAGAGTGCTTTGATTATTGCCTGCTGAAGAAACTGGTGTGATTTCGCTAGGTTGGGTTTTATATTTGGTCCTTGCTTCTTCAGCTCCCTGATCACAGCCCTTAACTGTTTTCACTTCACTGATGCCCTCCGGTGAAGCTTTCAGGTTTGAATCCTCAAAATTACTCCTCTGAGCAGCAGGCAGTCCAGAGGCTCCCTTTAAAGGCTTAGACATGTCAGAATTCTCTTGGCACTGTGTTTGGTTCTCATCCAGTAATGCTTCTGGTTCCATTTTGATCTCAACTGCAGATGTTGCTACAACACTGCCAGTCTTAGATCCTGGAGACTGAAGTGAAACGACAGATCCATTTTTAATTTGTGGTACAGTCCTCGACTCTTCTGTTGCTCCTGTACTGCTGTTCATTGAAGTTGTCTGTTTGACAGGTACACTACTGCTGCTAGGGGCAAGAGATATTGCTGTCATTTTTACCACATTTAAGGAATTCACGTGTGGAGCTGGCACAACAGTCTTAATTGGGCTACTGGTGAAGAGCACCGTAGTGGGGGAACGGATGGTGAGAGCACTGGTGTTTGCTGGCTTAGGTAGGATCTGTGGGTAACGAGGCCGAGCAGAACGGTCACCAACTGGACTGGCTGGAACATTCTGAGGAGTCTTTGGTGACTGCTTGACTGACTGCATGTGCTGAGTGACCACCTGAACGTTGAGCGGAAGAACCTTACTATCAGATGAGGCCATGGGACTGGGAGATGTTACCAACTGTCTGGTCCTCGGTACCTATTTGCGTAGAAAACAAACATTTGGTTTAAACAAAAATCTAGGCACCTAAAGAAATCTAATGGGTTGTGTTAACCTAAGGGATGGGGGAAGAACAGCTACTTCTTAAGGATTAGAAGGATGCTAGTTATTTATGTGTAAACTGGCACCACCCTGTGCCCTATGCACCCTTCCAAAGTAGCAGTGTTCACCATAAATATTCAACAACACACAATACAGCTGCTCTTCCATACTACTGGTTAACTTCCTCACAACTTACATAACAAACAGGAGCAGCCATGTCACACCATCCCACAGCCCACCTCATTCCCAAATGCCTGGGAAAAAATGAAAAAATAGAAATGAGTGTTTAAACCAGTGAAAGATCACAACGGAAGAATCAAGCTGTGCTGTATTTAAGTGTTTTGAGGAGTATTTGGAAACCACTGCTTTCAGCTTACTAGAACCCATGCTAATTCCTTGGGTCTTGGCAATCAAAGTTGAAGCCCTAGTCCATACCAACATCTGTGCACTCCCTTCCTTGAACAAAGGAAGCTAAAGCGTGGAGAAGATGTTCAAGCATTATCAGTTTTCAAAATTCCAGAAGTAAATTCAATACAAACTAAACATTATTCAGGGCAGAAGAGCCAAAAAAAAGGGAAGAAATCAGTATTACTCAGCAGAAGCAGTCTAGTCAAGTCTGTTCTATTGTCAAAAAAAAAAGGTCAAAGGTCCACCGGCCTTGGGCTAGTCTGGTACTCAGCAGAAGACACACAGTAGAATGATGTGGCAGCTAGCATGATTATCTGGCTGCCTGTAACTGCTCAGTACAAATGACCATATACCCATTTACAGTTGAGTCAATTGAGGACAACCTTTGACACAAGTCCAAAGTAAAGGTCAGACTGACACCTCTGAATCATCACAAGACACCTTAAAACCCCTCTACCATCATGAACCTCTGCTCCTTTGTACAGATATTCAAATGAGAGCAGAGAGGTAGTTAGCTGTGTTAGTCTGAAGTCAGGCCAAAGGTAGAGCAGGGTGGCACCTTACAGACTATTGATTCAGTCCTGACCTTTCACAGGCAGCAACCTACTTCATAGTTTTTAAGGTGCCAGCCGCCTTTATCTTCTGTCAAGTAAGGGTGAAACTAATGCCAGTGATGATCCCCCTAAATCAGTAAAGCTGCATTTACACTACATATTAAGTGTTTAAGCAATGCATTGTGTGGGTTCCTGCAGCTTGGGAAACTTTGTCTTAAACATATCATTCTTCTTATGCATAACCCAAATTATTCTTAAGTTCCACTGCCACTGACTTATGACAAGGATAAGCTTAGCCCATGCTATGTAAGTGTCATTCTACTGCTTCCATCATGCAAAATTATTACATTTATGGCTCTGGCACTTACTTGACATAAAAAAAAAAGCCACTGAGACAGAAAAGGGCCTTTGCATCCCTATCTGTGACATGTCTATTCCATTTACACTACCACTTAGGTATTTCTCAGGACTAATGTAAATAGTGAACAACACTTTCTCTAAGATTGTCTGGCTTGAAAGGTTTGGAGAACACTGGAGAACATTACCGGTATGGGACTGGGGACAGCTGCCACTACGATACCAATAGGTTGAGGAGACAAGATGGCAGGGCTTCCATTAGAAATACTAGCTACTCCATTTGTTGTAGCGCCTTCCGTTTTCTTAGCTGGAGACTCTCCTGGCAAGGGAGACTGAAGTTTCTGTTCCTGTTGCTTCTTTTGGATCTTACGCTGTAGCTGCTGCTTGGCATCGACAGGAGATGACAAAGTTTTCACTTGAGGCTGAAAAGAATTGCTTTCAGCAGTGGGTATAAAAGCAGAGGGCTGGGAAATCCCTTTTATTCCTGAAAGCAAAAAGAAAATAGCTGAAATGATATATGCCAGGACTTGTGTCTGACACTCTGTATGGAAATAATACATCCTTGGTAGCACATCAGGCATGTGAAAGCATCACAGTTATCAAGTGGGGTTTATACTTGAACAGACATTCAGTATCAATTTATTTCTAACATATAAGATAAGAACCCTTAGTGTCAGGCAACTTGGATGCTCTTTATTGTTGTCAAATGATTGCATTAATATTCTGTTTCTGGAAATCCCAATTTGCCTAATCAAAATGAACAATACTATGACAATGCATTTCACACAACTGACAGTAGATGGCAATGAATATATTTTGGAAGACACTTGTTAAACCATCTTTATGTGGTCTTTTGTTTCCAGTATTTTAATGCAGGTCTAAAATACACATTTCCTTAGTTTGTGGGAAAAGCAGCACTAAATGGAGAAGACAACATTCAAATCACCTTGGAGTATGTAATATCTAATACCAGCTGCAGTACAGAGATTTAATTGATAACAGCATCTAATGGCTAATGCTGGAAGTATGTCACAATGCTATTAGTGCATGGAAGAGAAAGTGAGAGGGATATTGAAAGGAGGACAAGAAAAAAAGGCAAAAGAAAGGTGAAAAGGTGATGGCACTCAGAAGAGGAGATGCCCCTGTTGATTGTAAACAGGTAACAGGCCTTCCAGGCAAGTCCAATCAGGGATCATTCTCATGTGTGTAGCTCAAATCAATCCCTGCTTTTACCTGTTATCAAATCATGTTACAACCTTGTTCTTCAGAAGGTTAAAGTATTATTTGGTAACTGAATCTGAGGATTAGCATGTTCTTAAAGAAATCTCCCACTACTGATACCTGCCTGTGTAAAATGTTATAACACTGTTTCCTTTAACATTACAAGCATTTAAAAATTGTACATGAAGTAACTTCTAAGAATTTTCCAGATACATCATCTTAAGCCAACTGCCAAACCTAAATTGTATAGCATCAGCTCAGAAACTGCTTTCAAGACTCCAACCTCAAAGCAACACTCACTAGCTTTGAGTAAGAATAGGAAGACTACAGAATGTCTCCTTTTTTCAGCTTGGTTTCATTCAGGGAAAACCTGCCCCAGTTTAGCTTTCACTTGCTGCAGGGTAGGAGGCAAAAGGACAGTAACCATAAAGCAGTTAGTCCCCACCCTCTGTTAATTTTGGAAAAAGTCTTTTAACAGTTTATAAGAGTTATTAAACCCCCATCCTTCAAGGGTTTATGCCAATTTCCAAGAATGAGGTGTTTTTTTAGTTTCTTCTTTTGATGCATCTGGTCCTACCCAGTATTAGGTTGGATAAAATGAACTGATTCAAAATGGCAGTTCTTATCTTCACCTGCACAAAGGGAAATGCAAACCTTAACTATCAAGTATTTTTGTAACTTCTTAATAATGAACAAAAAGCTAAATAAAACTGCAAAAACCCCAAAGGCACACAACTTGCTCAGAAGCTGCACAGCCAACCCCCTTCAGCACCTTTTATTTTTAATGTGGTAATTACTGACACCTGCTGACCTAGTTGCGCTACATGAATCAGAGCAAGCATTTCAGGAAAGTGTGCACCTGATATGCCCGAAGAGCGCCCCTAAGAACACCAGCTGCTGATAGACAGTTACATATAATCAAGTAGCAAATGCAGCTACAATCCAGACTTTGTCTACTAGCACTTTCATGGTGCTGTCACCATAGGCTCTATCCAGGCACTATGACCCTAATCTAGCAAAGCATTAAGCATGCACTCAAATTTAAGCACAGAAATAGACTTATTACTTTAAACATGCAAATATTCATATTGAAATTTAAATATGTTTTTGAAGTGCCTCACAGGCTCAGGACCTATATAACACAAGGGTTGTAGGAAACACAGGACTGCTCTGGAAGGGACAGTCAATTCTCCTTCCTAGTGGTAACACATGCACTTGCTATGTACCACTCCAAAAGGTACTAGTAATCTGACAACAGCACTGTGCAAGACGGAAAACATATTCTTCGACTGTAGAGCTTGAACTCTACAAACGCTCATGAAGTCTGTGGCAACTGGAATGCCCAACAGGAACTGGAAAGGCTATACTTGTACTGTAAAATGGCTCAGATCACCAAGATTGAGTCACTGGCAGATTGCAAATTCATACCAGTTCCTGGGGACTGGGAGAAAGAATTTGAGGAAAAGCACAGTGAACTCCTCTTTTGTTTGGTTAAACTTTCCTCATTTCATCTGCCTTCTTTAGATTACACAGTCCCTTTGCTAATTACCCTAAAATCCCAGTCAATGTAAACCACAGATTATGAGGTCACTTTAAGGCCAATTCAGGCTTCTCTCTCTCTTACTATGTTGCAAACTTCTCCAACCAGAGCAGACAATATTCTGCTACTCCCCATCTTTCTTTGTAACCAGAAAATTTAAGAAATTGTACCTACAGCAAAAATGGTCACACCAATGTTCTTCTTTTATTAGGTGAAAAGAACCATTTTAACAGCCCAGACTGATATCACAGAACAGGCACAGTTCATGCAACGGCAATGCCATCTTCCCCTTTCCAATTCTCCTTGGGCTTCCTACTCAGTCAACCAACAAAAAGGGAACTAACTGTGGCAGCGATTTAGGCCCAGATTCAGGAAAGCACTTAAATACAACCTTAAAGCCATCCCTATTCAATGGTTAGGTTCTGTTCACAGCTGGGACATTCACTGAATCGAGGTCTTAGTGATGCAGACTTTAATCATTAGGAGCTGGTGGCTAGGGCTATGCAAAACGGGCCGTATTCGATTTGGATTCGGCCCAAATCGGGAACAGTGATTTGATTCATTGATTCGGATCACTGTCCTGATTCGATTTGGCCACATCTGAATCTGAAGATTTAATGCTGATTCAGAGAATCAGCTATTGAGCCAGACACAGCTTTAAATGTTTTTTCTATGTATCTCGAGGTACCAGGCACAGCTCGTGAACACTGCAATGGTGGGGTGGATGGAGCATCCCACAGGTGCATGGGGGGGCCCCCTACGTGCTCAGCAGCAAACCCGGAAGTGGACTGCTCCCCCAGCTCGGCAATCGGCCACGGGGGGACCCCAGGTGCCCCCCCAGACCCAGGAGGTACCAGTCCACTTCTGGGTCTGCTGCCAAGCATGCTATGGACCACCCCCGCACTCCTGTGGGACGCTCCATCCGCCTCACCATCGCAGTGTTCACAAGCCGCCTGGTACCTTGAGGTATGTAGAAAAAGTTGTGTCTATGTCTGAATCTTCAAATCTTTCCCAATCTCTCTGAATCAATTCGGAGGGCTCTGATTCAGTGTGGCGAGATTGAAGGGTCTCCTGATTAGATTTGGATTCGGAGATTCGGCCACCGAATCTCTGCTGAATCAAATCAGCGACTGAAGCTTCACACAGCCCTACTGGTGGCACATCACCACTCATTTCACCTAAGGATGATTAGACAGTGACATATTTCAGTCATTCAAACAAATGACAGACAGCACATTTTGCAGCCAACTACTAAGCTTCATTGGGCACCCAGTGTTGCCCCTTAGATATATTCTGAGAACTAAGGAAGGTTAAAAAAACCCGTCCCAGTATAATTACATTCTCACAAATAGGGAAACCTACATTTCTAACAGCAAGTTCAATAATCCAAAAAAGATAAAAATGACTAAACAGTACATATAAGGCATATCAAGCACATGATTAGAAACTATAAAATATACATTTATCTAAAGAAATAACAATCTAGTTAACATTTGAGATAATTTAAAATTAAATTTAAGTCCTAAAGTCTTAAAAAGCTTTTAAAAGGTGGGCAGGCTTTTTGAGAAAAAAACTCACTTAGGTTTCCTTTGCCTCTTCTCACCCATGCAAACTTTGTTCAAGCGAATGCAAGCAAATGCTATACTCTATCACCAGTAAGCAACTACTGCCTACTATAGTCAGCACCAGGTTCATCAAAAATCCAGCATCCAGTGCTGCCCCTGCGTTCAGAGTTAACCCATATGCTGCGTGAGTGTGCACTGAAGCAGCCCTGTGCGCAGAGGCCAGGACCTACACCACATGTGGTGCCCACCTTGTGGCCCTCTCTGCATGCAGTGCCACCCCCTGGCTAGTTCGGGACCTACGCTGTATGTCCCAGACTGGCCAGGGGGTGGCCATCCAGGACATACTGCAGTCCTGTATGTCCCGGACTGCCACCTGGGTGCTGTGGGACAGGTGCTGCATGTGGCATGAGTCTTAGACTGAACAGAATGGGTGCCACATGTGCTGGATCCAACACAGTAAGAGGAAGATTGGCCACACCATTCATTCAACACAAATCAACCCACGTCACTCATCTAGCCCATGGGTTCAGATTATTTTGACACCCCTAGTCTATATCAGTCTCCCCAGCTTTCCTATTGATCTTACAAATAGTTATCATTTCATAATATGCATTTTTTTTTTTCCAGCAATAACAATTAGCCCATTACCTGCGGGTGCCCCTGCCATTACTGTTAAAGCTGCCATTGATTTGGTACCGATATAATGACTTCTTACAAGGAAACGAGCTAAATCCAAAACGGAATCAAAGGGCTGGCTGAGCATTTTCTGGGCCCATTCGCATACAAGCCGGCATGCAGCAGACACGACTTCCTCATCAGCACTTTGAAGCTGCCCTGATGACTCTGCCCCATCCAACTGCACAAAGAAAAAGTAGAGACTGGTTACCAAAAAGAAACAACCACCTTAAAGCAAATGATAACGCAGGAACGGAACATATTTCCTTAGAAGTCTAAGTATTCCTTGTACATCGGCATTATCCAAGACAAAACATATGAACGTTCCTACCACTTGTTCACAGGTAAAGACATTATGTGAGGCTAATATTACATTTCTGGAAGAATAGAAGAATACTGCATGAGGAATCCTAATATTTTAATGAACCACAATCTGAAGTCCCTTATATAAAAAGCCAAACTAAAATGACCACATTTTTAGTGTTTTGCTACTTTTTGTTTTCTGAGACTACCAATTTCCCATGCCACCTGTTACTGGGAAGCAATTTGCATCACTGCGACTCCTGCTCCCTCTCTTAACAGCAGTCTGATTAATTTTATAGAGAAAACAAAAATACAGAGAATTATTAATTTAAAAAAATAACTTGTGAATGGCAGTACTACAAAAATCTGCTTCGTATTCTAAATCATATTTTTAAATGACCAATTTTTGTTGAAGCTTAAAGCAAATCAAACAAGGCGTGTCTGATGATAAGAGTATTGTAGAAAACTCCTATATATAAAAGTGTTTCAGAAAGTAAGAGCAATTTCAAGATAAAACCATTTTGTGTGCAGTGATTGCTTACTGAACCACATCGCTTCTCTATACAGTAGTAAACAGTAGGTCAGCTTGATGATGCCACCAGTGTTCCCTACTACTGTGTAGTCTCCCATTCATTGCACACAAAATGGTTTAATTTCAAAATTGCCATTACTTTCTGAAGTATCCTTGTATTTGAAAAACTGCACAGCTCCTTAGCCTGTTTATTTCAGATTAAACTAATTTTCCTTTAATAATGTTAAACACTGAGAATATAGTAAGAATTAGCTTCCACAAATATGTGTGTGTGTGTGTGTGTGTGTGTGTGTGTGTGTATATATATATATATACTGTACCCCATCTGCAGTTTTATGAAAATCAAGGTTGGGCAGTGTTGGCATATGCACAAAAGCTTTCTTCCTCAGTCCACTGTAGCAATATGTGATCAAGAATTAAGGTCTAAAAAGTTTCTGTTCCTTGGTTTATAAAAAAAAAAAAAAAAAAGCAAGCATTTCCTCCTGTTTTCCCTGCATAAACTTTATAAGCAAAAAGAGAAATGCAGGCTCCACACACCTATTGACATTTCCCCCCTCCCATTAGGCTAGGAATTAAACTTATGTGACTACTAGGCTCCTCTCCTGCACTGTTGTTCATCTGACTGGACCCCTGCACTCATGTAGAGTCTAAATGAAATCATAAAGGTTCCACATGAGCACAGCAGTCCACCTACATGCTCTCACTAGCAGGTCTTGGTCCATTTAGCTGATTTACAGGCTGGAATAGTTCATTAGATCATGCAGTCAGACCGTCTTTACAGGATGAACAAAGAATTCAACCAGTTACCCCTAGATTTAGCCTGATAACTTGTGCCTGTCTAAAACGTATCTTCCAGAAAAGCTGCCTTGAAGGCATCAAGAGATCGAGAGTCTCACCACTTCCTCTGGTAGTTTGTTCCCATAGTCAATCATTCTCTAGGATAAAATCTGTCCCTCTTTTAAGTGAATGTGTCTGGTTATAACTTTTAGGCATTGGTTCTTAGTATGCTTGTCTGTGCTAAAGCTAATGCGACTTTTAGTATTTGGCATCTTTCTTTATTGAACTACTTATATAACATGATTAGGTCACCTCCTAATTTTCTTTCTGATGAGCTGAGCAGATTGACATCCTCAGCTCTCTCACAGCAAGGCATTTTTCCCTGTCCTCAAACAATTGTTAGATCTGCACTGCACTGTCCCCAATTGTTCTACATCATTTTTAAAGAAAGGGATAATACAACTGGATACTGTGTTTTGGCATCAGTCTCACCAAGACCATACAAATTCACCTCCCTACTCACTTCTACTCTAACCCACTCGTCTGTACATCTAAGAATCACACTAACCTTCTCCTCCAGTTCTTTACACTGGATGTCTTAATAAAAGTATTAGGTAATACTAGGTTGACTTTATTGGTTTTTCATGCCTTTAACTGCTTGTTTTCCAACATCATCAGCTCAGATATCCCTAAGTTGTATGTTAAATGATCCATTAGCTGGGTTATTGAATATGTGGACCTTTGGGTTGAACTGATATTTTTTTGACAATCAGCTCTTTTCTCCCTTCTTTTAGACATTAGTTGAGCTTCTCCCATTTATGAAAAGCTGCCCTTTAATATGAACACTTCTGTGGCTTGACAGATAATGATAACAAGGTTTTAGAAATACAGTTCAAGAACTATTACTGGCTTTATGCCTCAGTTTAGTGATGTGCATTGGTACAGCAAAATTAAATAAACATATTTTTTACTTCCATTATTACAACAGTATAGGTATTGCACGAATCTAATGCAAGTTGCTTTATTCCAATATTCATCTCTTTGTTTTTAAAGATAAGACTAGGTTTCCAGAGTAAATAACTACAGGAACAACTAAGCACTAGAATTAGATGACCAGCAAAAATCAAGTAGGGACAAAATTCCTGAAGATGTGCCTTGCATCTTAATGATAAAGAGATTAACACATTTCTAAGTATTATACCAAGTACTTTGGGGAAATTGTCTGCATTTCTTATTTACATTTATTTCTAAATTTAGCTAGCAGTTGAGCTACAACAACAAATGTTCTTTAAGCAAGGGCAGAAGAGATTACTGAAAAGTGTTTTAGCAAAGGATATTTTGATTTGCCTCTTGTGCCCAGACGGCGGGCTTTCATATTTGGAAAAACATTTTTCATGATCTTTCCAAAGTCAGCAGCGCTTAATGGATGGTAACCAAGATTGTCACAATAGCTCCTGCAACAGAGGGAAAGAAATTGTGAATGAAACAAAATAAAAGGCAATTCTACGTAACAGACTTCCATCAAAGACTTTCAAAGGAAAATAATCAGATCAGAACTATATTCAACATTAGTGAATCTAGCTACAACAAACTGAATACATTAAAATACACAGAATTATTAATACAGTCAATTTTACTCTGCACACTTGTGAGTTCAAAGTCAGATGGAGATTCAATACACAGTGGCCTTGTCAAGAGACCAGTTAGGAACTGTTGTATCTAACTTGGTTAGGATTTCATGTTTTGTGTATTTAAGACATGGGTACAATAAAAGGAGAAGTGTGACCAGCCAAAAAGTGGGTAACAACTGCTTGGGTGTGACAAGGTGTGACATCACGCATGAATTTTTAAAAGCAGTAGGAGAGAGATTTTGCCTCTGTGTAGAGTATAAGGTCTTGTCCACATTAGCTCTAGAAAGGTCAGAACTTAAATTAATAAATTCACCTTCCTAAAAAGTCAGCTTCATTCTCAAGTGTCTAATGTGAACATACACCGGGGAACTGGATACTTGGGGACTGTTAATGAGTTACAGGGACTGTAGGGGTTTGTCTTCACACCAATTTGCCCTGGTTTAATTACTCCAGCACAAAGCCCTGTGAGAACAGTTTCATTTATTTAAAACTGATCAGATTGGTTTACCAGGCCTACATTAATTCAGGGTTGTTCTATATACAGCTACTGCATTGCTATAACTATATCAGGTTATATAATTAAAGTGGTACAATCTCTTATTGAGGTGGAATTTTATTGGCACAAAGGTACTTGTATTGGCAAATAGGAATCAACTATGCTATCAGTAATATTTTTTTTTTTCCTCCAGCATCCAATGGTAGAAAAGAGCAGAAGGATTTTTATTTTTAGAGCCACCCCTCTTCCTGCCAAAAAAGTAAAATAATTTTAAACAAGAAGTAATTTCACTCCAAAACGTAAAACTTGGGGAAATTTACAGGCACATGAATAGCTACATATAACAATGGGAACTCTTCTGAAACCTTATCTGTATAGATTCATAGTATATTCATAGATTCGTATAGCAGGGGCTTATGGTAATATACATATTTGTATGCACTTACACACCTCTTTTTCTTCAAGGACAAAGTGTTTTACAGATATGAATTAATTAAGCCTCAAACATTATTGCAAAGTATACTTATTTATGTTCAATGATCTAACCAAGGTCGTAAGGTTGCAAAACTTGCTTTCCTATGCTCTAACCATAAGATCCTGCTGCACTCCTGGGCAAAACACTATTAGAAATATTCACAGATATTCAGCTTTTGAAAGAAAAAAGGAGCTGTGCACAATCCTCCCTATGTAGACCTCAGATCTGGACAGCAGAGAAACAATCATTTCACACACCAGCATGTGGTATTCTAAACAAATATGACAGGACTCATACATACTAACAGAATTCAGCTGCTGTGACTAACAAAAACACATTCTAAATATAAATAAAAACAGGGAAATCACAGTGGTTAGAGTAGATATGAGGACTTAACTTAAAGATGTGACAGCACTCAGGAAAAAGGAGTTTCATTCCTTTCTGCAAAAGTAGCGATGGCAGTAATTACCAGTGACTGTGCACCTCAGTAAACTGAGTGAAGGTCTGTTCTGAAGACTAATGTGAATGGTGGTTGGCACAGGTGTTGGGATCCTGTGAACAGCATTTTAACAAGGAACTTCCTCGATACTGCAGAGCACATATCTGAGTTGGTTTTCCATTACTGCCAGCATCAGTGAGTACCTAGGGCTGGCAGATCATGTGTGGAGGATGACAAGACCCACCTTATGAGGTGCAAAGGAAGAGGAAAGGCAGATGAAGAGCATTAACCTCCACTGAGCGCATCTGCAGATGCTTCCATGCAACCAGGGGGCAACTTACATCTAGTAATGCAGATGGTGATGGGGGAAGGAACAGGAGGGGACTTTCTCATCATTTTTGCTTTTTTTAGGGAAGTGGTTTTTAATCTTTTTAGACTCAAAACACCCAAGATACCCCTCCTTTTGTGGACAGATTTGCACCATATCTAACAAAAATATTACACTACTTAACTCCTTGCAAAGGGGCCAGGCAGTGGGAGCAGGAGAGAGGCCTGAGCCTGAGATCATCTTCTCACACTTCAGGGGCAACCTTAAAAAAATCTTGTGGAACATAAGGGTTACTCTGGCACCCTGGTTGAGAATCACTGCTTTAGGGATGGAGGAAATTGAAGAGACCAGGGCAACTAAAACTCAAGAAAATTCTTGTGATAACAGTGATAATATGTCTACAATTTGCTATGACTTTCCAGTTCTGCTAAACTGCTTTATAGCTAATGCCAAGCAGAGGTCTCCCACCTGGAGTCAGATGTAGGTTCACCTACTGCTGTTGGCTGGCTCTGCACAGACATTTGTAAACCAGTTTCCCCTATCTTCAGCTCTAACCAGCCTTCTCTGGATTCTGAATTCATTCTCAAAATGTGTGATACTGCTGTTGGCTGATATGAATTACTGTATTCTATTTCTCCACTGTAGTTTGGAGCATTGTCTCCATAGCAAGCATCTGGGGTATTATAGAATATCTTTTATTTAGTCAGTGAAATCTGAAAGGGTAGATGCTAAAATCGTTGTGTGAAGTTCAGTGCAAGGAAAACCCAGTTCAACTAGTAAGCACCAGTCTTAGGACTTAATTAATCAATTCTTTTAGAATTAAATTTATTTGCACTTTAGGAAAAAAATGCAGTCATCAAGCTTAGAAAATCTGTTTCTAACTAGTATGTAGTAGCAGCCACAGACTTAAGTAGTGGTATATGGCCCATATGCCCAGGCCAGCAGTTCCTGCCAGCCTGGAATCTCTTTGAGCTATTACCGTTTTGTGAAGTGATGTTATTTTGCAGAGAACCCATTCCATGAGGCCTTGTGCTCCTTCCTCTTGTTCAGCCTAGAACTTCTCATACCCATCTCCAGTCTCTTATTGACCAAATTCCTACGGACAAGAATAAAAGGGTATACACTACCCATACATAAATTTAGGCTAGCAATCAGAACGAATTCTAACCATGAGAGGAGGGAGATTCTGGAACAGCTATCAAATGCCATCAAATAAGAATAGTAGAGAAGAAGCTATTTTTTTGATGGAGCTTGATCAGCTTCTGAAAAGGAGTCATATGATGTGGCTGGCTGTGACAGCAGGGGACTGAACTTAGTGACCCAGTAGGTCTTTAAGTCTAGTCTGGGCACAAGAAACAGAGCCCGACCAATGGTAGAAGCTTGTACAATTGCATGTGCCATTTTCTTCTTCAAAATATTTTTCTCTTCAACTGAGGACAAGATTCTGCATAGTCTGTACTATGCCCATAGGGCCTTGCTCAAACAGATGGCAGCTCTACTTTAATAAAGGCTTCAGGACTGTTCTCTCTGGTCCAGTTTCATTAAGCACCCCCTGTACACCTTGCCAGCAAAACCCCCCTGACCCTGGAGATGGCGACTGCTGGGACTCCTAAGGCTTAAGGGTTTTATGCTAGGGGTACACCCCTGCAGCTGAGAGCCCTGTCAAGCTAATGGGGCTCCCAGCCTCAGGGGAGACCCTGCTACATGTGCAAATTAAAGCGCAATAGCAACCAACTATAAAGTTAGTACACATTTCTGAGGTCTGAGTTCATAGCTGGTTGGAGCTTTTTTTATAGTGTGATAGATACTTTGCACATGTAGCTGATCTCCAGGTAACTGTGCAATACCTGTAACCTTTAACAGAGGGCCTAAGGCTCTGTAATGGCTTCTGGTGACATAGGCCAGGGTAGAAAATGAAAAGTTGTTACAGTAAAACTCTCCCTTCCCTCGTGAGAAAAAAGAAGACAAGGGATTTGGTAATGGCGATGCATTTATTCACCACATCCCACTGCACATCCCGTAGCATACCCTTAAAAATGCATCACCTAGTGCAGTGATTCTCAACTGGGGTGCCATAAGCTCCTTTGAAAGATGTCACGAAGTGTGAAGGGATAAGCATAGGCTCCCATCCCCCACTGCCAGATCCCTCTACAAGGAGGTAAACCCTGCAATAAATAAATTAGTTTTTGAAATGGCGTACTGCTCAAGTCACAGAAGGTATGGAGGAATGCCTCAATTAAAAAAAGGTTGAGAACCACTGATGGGAACTGAGCCAGTAGAAGTGATCCACCTCCTACCCCAATGACAACTACAAGCCCTTAACTTTCCTGAGTTATTTTACTATTCTGTAATTTAACTTTTTTAAATCACTTTTAAGACACGTTGAGTGCAGTTACTTCTACCTAATCACAAGTCTGCATCTCTACCTAGATATTTTGCTTCTAAAAGTATAAAAAGGAAGGAATAAGTATGAAAGGAAAGCATTAGTGTATTGAAGTACACTATTTATTCAGATAAAAGTCAACTGAAAAGGAAAGGAGAGGGCACATGTAAAAACTGCCTGTGCAGGATCTGTGTAGATTCAACCTTCAACATCTTATGCACCTGGAATCCATACTAGATTGTATAATACAGGCTAAAACAACCACATAAAGAACACAGAACCTCATTTTGTAGAACTACAAGATGACTGATGGTTAGCAGACATGCATATGCTGGTATTCTGCTGCAAGTCCTCCAAAGCCTGCGTAACCTTTCACAGGGGTGTGAACCCTCCAGATTTAGTAATCACAAGGCATTTCCATATTTGTATGTACACAATGCAGAAAGCTGCTCAAATCACCTCACCAGCAGAGGTAGAAAACAATAGCTCATGAATGACAGACAGTAGTGTTTGAGGTGCCTAAATCCCCTTAAGTAGAGAGAAATGTCTTAACTGAGCTAAACCTAGGCTACTATTTATATAGCTCTTCATACCTCCCACTCTGGGTCTATTCTTCCTTTGGTGCTTGAGGTTAACTAATACAAATATTTAGAGCAGCAAAATCTATTACAAAAAGAACAGATGCTTGAGAAAGAGAACAGA